AACTCTACGAATTTTTTCAGAATTTTTTATCAACTTTTTAGTACTGCATTTTCTCATTTTTATCAACATGAGAAAATACAGTATTAAAAAATTCCGAAAAAATTTTAAAGAAATTCTTATTGGCACGCAATTATGATTTCTGAAATTAATTCATTTAAATGAATATATATAATAGTTCAACATCTTAACGTTCAGATCGTAATGGCGCTTTGTATTTAAAGTAATGTTTCTAACATAAACGATCTTATTTCCAATCTTTATTATCCAATCATTATTGTAATATCTTGTTAACTATTGCGAAAGTTGCAAAATGGTAAAGGACTTTCCGTCTCAGTTTAGTCCGCTCTACATGTCCATGAACTCCGTCAGAACAATTATCAGACACCCTGTATATTATATATAAAAGAGGAATTATAACTGAAATTATAGTATCTAACATTGACATGATTACAAAAATAGCAGAAATTAATAATTAAAAAGATTTTGTACTGTTATATTACATATGTATAATAAAAATTATAAATATAATGAAATATATTATAATATCTAACACTGTGACATAATAACAAAATAACAAAAACAACCTAAATGTAGGCTAATGAGAGTCGCGAATGAAGGTGCGCAATAAATATTCACAAATAAAATTTGTTAATTCATATACAATGTGTTGATATCATCTTTATTTGAAATCTTGAAATCTTGAACGTTTCGATTCTCTTTGGAATCTTCATCAGAGGTTTCATGATTTGGCAATCGTGTGGATAACACTACAGTTTTGGCAACCTGCGAGTGACTCTATATCGGACGTTCGCGAAATCTAGTTTGGTTTAAGAAGTTTGCTGATGAAGGTTCCAAAGAGAATCGAAACGTTCAAGATTTCAAGATTTCAAATGAATTAACAAATTTTATTTGTGAATATTTATTGCGCACCTTCGTTCGCGCTGACTCTCATTAGTCCACATTTAGGTTGTTTTTCTTATTTTAAGAAGAGAGAGTCCTTGTTTAACATATTTATTATAATAACAAAAATAATAGAAGCTAATAATTCGAAAGATTAATTAGTGGTTCTTTTCTTTCAGGATCAAGATTGCGCTCGTTAAAAAACAAAATGTTCAATTATATCATTAGTTAATCTTGCAGAGCGATTGCAGCTTACGGGAAAGATTCTACGAAGAGATAGGAAGAATTCTACGGCGAGTGTTAATAGCTTACCGGACCGTGCGTAGCTTTAATTACGGTAACGATCGCGCACATTTTCCTGTGACATAAAACCCGGGGAAACTACGCGGCCGTGATACGTTCCCAGTATAACGTCGTATGGTATGGCGATCGTGACGTGAGAATGGATGAATCAGTTGCCGCGCGCGGCAACGAGACCAGTAGATCGGAGAACATCGAATCGAACACTCGGACAGTCCACATCGTGAATCCTTTGTTCGTTCCGTAAAGTCAGAGAAGACACTTGCAGTGTTTTAAAATACGGTGAGCGAGTGATATTGAAAGACAAAGAATAATTTTTTTAAATTGTGCTAAAGAAATATGCTCGATTACGTTCTTTAAAGACACACTTGTTGAACGACCAGCGGATTAAAACTAAAATTGTCAAATGCTCGAATTATAAATTAAAAGTTATAAAGTACAATTGCAAGGGATGTAATTACAAAGTGCTAGCTAAAATAGCAAAAGAAGTTCTGAAACGAAGAAAAAGTGATACATTATAATAACAATTGCATGAAATAGTTTAGCCGTTCAAAGGATATTTACGTTTTTGGACTTAAAAGACACAAGAGCGAGGGAGTTTTATATGGCAATTAGTCGCGATTCATGGCGACAATTGTTAGAAATAAATATATAGTAATGCGATACAAAGGGTGAAATGTTCAATCGATTTATTCATTCACGGATCGCGATGATAAAGATTTATGAGATATAAAAAAAAAGACATAATGATGGCAACTGTAAAAGTGATAACTGCGTATAAATTTTATATGTAGAATTGTCGAACAAGTTATTGCAATTACAGAATAAACTATTCTGTAATTGCAATAATTATTGTATAAAACAGTTTATTCAGCATTTTTTTTTAATTTTAATTAAGAATAACAAGCCTATAAAAGCTAATGCTGGATGTAATTGCAATCAAATTTTATTGGATACAACAATTAAATGATTAAAACGGTTCGATCCTTGGTTTGAATCCTCTTTAGTAAATACATAATTGATAAACTAAAATATATACAACAAAGATTACTGTTAAATATATTTAGAAAATTAAATTACACACACAAAAATATTGTTCGTTTTAATGTAAACTGTGGATAAGTTAATTAGCATCCATATGCCAAAATTGTTCACTAGATTTCCAAGTTTACTAAATAATGAGTTACGTCAATAGTATAAATATATTTATACTATTTAATTTCAATTTTTTATTTATTACATATATGTAATAAATAAAATTGAAGTTAGACTGATGGTAATTAATTAAATTAAAACTTACATGGATATTTGAAGATTGGCATATTGTGCGAAGTTGATAAAGCGCTTATCATGGATCTAATGAGAACGTTTGTCACACAATGACACAAATAGATCTTCAATAAAACTATAAAAGAGGGAAAAAAAGCATCAATTTTTAGAAATTAAAATTTAAATCAGCAGGATGTTAAAGACAAGAATTAAGGAACATAGGAACCATATTAATTGGAAAACATTACAACACTTGATTATTAAGGCACATAGACAGGAATTTGCACATGATTTCGATTGGAAGAATTTTGGATAAAGAAAGGTTCTTAAACAAACGACTAATAGAAATGATTTACATATATATAAACAGAAAAATGATCTGAACGTACAAAGTGACACAGAATTTTTGGATCGCTACTTTAATTTTTAGTCGAATGTTATCTTGTGGAATGGCATTCCACTTGTAACATCAATATAATAACTCATGTAAACAAACATTCTGTGTAACTTTCATTCATCTAGCACAACTCCTTCATGGTGTTGGGATTTCAATTTCCGACAGTGTATTTACTAAAGAGGATCCAAACCAAGGATCGAAACGTTTTACTTAATTTATTAATAATTGTTATGTACAATAAAACTTGATTGTAATTACATCCAGCATTGGCTCTCATAAGCTTGTTATTCTTAATTAATTTAATTCATTAGAGCCTATAGAATTTCTATTGTTTTTTTTTTAATTTTATAATGTAACAAAATTTATATATACAATTTACACAAAATTTGATATGGAATTATACTTTATAAGTTTTATATGTAAAATTAATATATATATAGTTGAATAGACTATTTTATATATACTTGTAATAATTATAAAATAGTCTATTCAACTATATATGTGTACATTAATTCTACATATAACACTTGTACAGTTATCACTTTTATGTTTTATCACTATTATGCCTTTATCTCTGATACCCGAATATCTTCATTATTGCGGTCGGAAGTTCTATTCAGAAACAAACATTTAACCGCATATAATCTCTAGGGGCCAGTTTCGAACCTTCATATCTCAAAAACTACCACTTAGAACAAATTGTGAATACTTCTGTAACTTATATTTTTTTCGAGATTTACTTTCATAATGTAATATTTTGATTCGCGAATTTCGGGGGACATCCTGTATAAATCTGTATAAATGTATAATCCTTTAAAGTTGCTATATTTTTCTCTGACTGCAGAATGGTGTTTTTTCAAGCAATGATGAGAGAGTAAAAATTTAAGTGATATGAAAAATTACATTGTTTCGCAGGTGATTTCTTCAACTGATTCTCTACGGTTCTCCGACATGAATGGAACAAAGAAGCTTGACGACGATGAGATATTGTATCTGGACGAGATCAACGACGAGGTGTCGAGGCCCCTGACGTCCACCAACACGGAGGCAGAAGCGCCGTTCATCGGGCTGCGCGCTGGCTTCGTCTCGGAGAATGACGAAAATCTCGCCAATCCGCAGGGTCCGGATTCGGTCACCGTAGCGGAATCCGACGGGTTGGATAAAAAGCCATCTGCGCCGATCGGCTTCGACAGCAGAAACGGACCGGGATTGCCCGTGGGAACGCAATCCGACTGGTCCAGCAACATCTTCCCTCCTGCGCCTGCCGTACAGGTCGTCACTCCGGACGTGAATATCTACCAGCACAAAAAGACCCTGGCCCAGGGTATGATGGACCTGGCGCTGTTGTCTGCGAACGCGAATCAGATGCGCTACGTTCTTCAGGCGGATAAAAGTACGGGCCGGCACCCGTACTTCTATCCGTCACTCGTCATGATCAGCATGAGCCTGTTCCTGCAGATTGCTGTGGGCATTGGTCTGATATGGAACAGCGTCTACAATGTGAAGGAACATGAGCAAATGTGTAAGGCGAACAAGGCCAACAATTGGACAGTTATTGGGATCTTCCTCGTCACGATATTAAATGTTTTTATCTCGTCGTTCGGTGTTGTCGATCAAACGGTTTCCGTCACGACATAAAATTCCATGTTTTTCTCTTTACTCTTGATGTGCTCTCTCTTTCTCTCAACGATACGCAATCGTTATGTAAAGTGAATGACCAGATAAAATATTTCCATTGTTTTTAAAATAATATCAACAAGTTTATGATTTGATATTCATATAGAAACTTCATAACGTTTCTGTATTATTATTGTTATTTTAATGCATATTAATCATCCGATGTATTGGATATTGAAAGACTTTTTATTGCAGTCGTATTGATTTATATCAGAAACGAAAAGTTATGCGAATCTTTTTTCACATGAATGTTTTTTCAAACATTTTGCCATTATTAGCGAAAAACGACGGAAATATTTTAGATTCCGATAGTAAGTAGATAATTTTGCACACTGGACGTTCAATCATTAAATGCATTCATTCATTTTTCACCTATTCATGCAAAAAACTCATCGACACACAAATAATTTATAGTGACATATAATTTTAATTTAATTTAAGCAACTTTTTTATTTCAAAGTGATGATAAGTAATGAAATATTATTGTGTAATAATAAATAATTATTTTTTATATGATGTAAACGTCTATGAAATGATACATAATAACATATCGGTCAAACGCGAACAACAGACGGTATCAGTTTCAACATTTGCTCCAATTCGTCGGCCAGTCGTTGTCTATTTCGTTGAAAATTTTTCTCCTCACGGTCTTGGCGCTCGTTCAAATCGTCCAACCAGCTCTGCGCCTCCGCGTTATTACATTGACTTCTGTGCGCGCGAGACGGGCAATTCAAGGACCAGTTCCTGGAACCATCGCCATCTACCGTCTTCTCGGATTTGAAATCTCGAAGTTTGTCTCTAATTAAGTGACGTAACAGCGAGCTAAACGCAGCAAGTTCCCGCGTATTGATTACTCTCGGATTCAATTCTGTAGATCTCTTGTGCTCTTGAATCACCGTAGCCTGCAATGCATGCAACCATTAATTACACAATTAATATAGCATTGCCAGAACTTTTTTTGTGGTTTATTATCTGATTCTTATCTCCAGATACTCAAGTTAATAATTTGAATATCTCAGGCGATTTTTTTTATTTTTATCATGTAAAAAACTGGAAAAGATCTTTAAGAATTATTTTGTGTGAGAAACAACAGTTAATACTTCCAACAACAGTCGATCTTTTTCTATAAAACAACTCGGAGCAAATTCTACGAGTATGAAAGCAACATAAATATTTTTATATTGTTTCTTTTTTACCAATTGATGTAATTGTTTTATTTGTATTTTATTAGAGGAAGAATAAAACAATTTGCATTGCAATGAATAAAGAAGTTGTTTTGTATCTCTCAATTTAACAGTCAAATTTCATCATCTTGTCTGCATCTTGTCTCTCTTTCTTCCTCTCTTCTGAAATTCTGTCAGATTCTGTGACGTTTGATGCTCTAATGGATGCTTTCCAAGTGTCTGTAATCATGATAAATTCTTAGAAAACAGATTCTTTGTCTTTATTATAATACAAACTTATTTTCCACACGTCATAATAAAGAAAAAGAGAAAGAGAAAGAAAGAGCTTTTTTGCGCCGTTGAAAAGATTCGATGTGAGCGACCCGCACGACTCTTCATTATGTCTGTCGTCTTTCTGTATTCTCTAAACTTTTTGAAGTGGAATCTCACTCTGAAGAGTGAAAATTATGCCTATCTTGAAAAAGAATGGTTGAATTTTCAATCTTTAAGAGTAAGATTTCACTCTTCAGAATGAGATTCCCTCTTAGGCAGATATGTATAATCGATTCTTATATTAAAGACTGTCTCTTTTAACTACAGTCTTATAAGATGAATAAAATCAGAGTCGTATTATTAAGACATTATTATAAGAAGGTTCTAAAAAAAGAGCGAACTACGGCCCAGAAAGTCACATTAGTGCTTTAAAACATTAAAACGGTCTTAAAATAAGAATAGACTTCATGAATGCCACCCTAAAAATTTCAGAGAGTTAAATTTACCATCCAGTCGAAAAACACGTGCCGCTTCCGCAGCCACTTAGCGCGCACGTCGAGCAGAATTCCGGCCTCGCGGAATTCTCGCAGCCGTCGCCGATCGTTCTCGGAGCTTCCATCTCCTCCATCGTCGAGGATGCGCGTTCTACTGAGGCGTTTCGTCAACACTAATTCAGACACGCTCAAGTGCGGTAGACCACTTACGTTGATGCTTGCCGCGTGCACTTTAGATATTAATTTAGCCCGCTCGCGGATCAATTCATTGATCTCCCGCAAGTTTAGATTTACTGTGGCATTCAAGTGCAGGATACTGCTAAGCTGGGCGCTTGTTGATAACGGCTGATTGTTTGGTACGGCAATTAACGATGGAGGCTGAACAGAACTTTGATATATAAATGAATTTCCTTTGATATGAAAAGACACTATATACTGGGTGTCTCGTATTTTTGGCCAAATGTTTTTGTGTAAATAGAGCGGATTAAACTAAGTTGAAAAGTCCTTTACCATTTTGCAATTTTCACAATAGTTAACAAGATTATACAATATATTAATTACTAAAAATCGTTGAATATTGGTCTTCAATAATTTGTTACTCAAATATTATCGATTTTACAGAAAAACAGCAAGAAACAAAAATTGCTTATTTCCTTCTCATAAAGTTCTGAGAATTTTTTCCAAATTTTTTAATACCGTATTTTCTCATGTTGGTAAAAATAGTTACCAATAAGAAAATACAGTACTAAAAAGTTGATAAAAAATTCTTAAAAAATTCTTACAGCTTTATGAGAAAAAAAGAAACAATATTTGTCTCTTGCTATTTTTCTGTAAAGTTGATAATATTTGAGTAAAAAAATATTAAAAATCAATATTCGGCAATTTTTAGTAATTAATATCTCGTTAACCATTACGAAAATTGCAAAATAGCAAAGGACTTTTCGACTCAATTTAGTCCGCTCTATCTATACAAAAGTGCTTGGCAAAATATTTCGGGACAGGCTGTATATCAAGCTGATCGACGTTGTTCATTAATGTGTGCTTTAATTGTCAATTATTTAACAAAAGCACACAGGGAAAGTATAAACAAAAGTACAAGCAAATTATACAATCTGATTCTCTTCAGTACGAAAGATCGCAAGAAAAGTCAACATTTTATTACTTATGACTCGCTACTCTTTATCTATTCAATTAAAGAAATAGATTTCATTTATTACAGTGAAAATAGATTTCACTTATTTTCACTGTATTTATATTAAAAGATTTAATACTGACTTCCGATGAATCTACATGTGAGCATTCGGCACCTAGGACGCCATCGGCCAGTTTCGCTCGAAGGATGGCAGTGAGGACATCCTGTGTTCCCAGCAGCCAAGCTAAGGCTATCAACGCATCTCTATTATGTTCGCCGTCTTGCGACAAGCTGTAGAATTCGATCACTGGGTATTGTAAGAGTGCGAGATGCAGCTTCACCGCCGACGGAGCGTCTGGAAATACGATTGACAATGTAAAGACTTTTTATAAGAGACACCAATTAAATGTACGCATTTACGCGCGTGCACTCGTGCTAAAACATATATCATACAAAGAAATATTAATATTATCATAATATTACAATATTAAATAAAAAATTTTTTAAATCATACATGTGAATACACAATTAATTATTATTATAATATTAATAAATATACTACTATTTATTATTATTATAATACAACTATTTATTGTAATATTATGATATTAAGTAAAAAGGAGGTCAAAGTTAGATGTTGGAATAAAAAATAATTCTCTATATATATGCAATTTATTTTAAATTTAATATTTTAATACTTACATGATATACTAAAGGAAATGTATTAAAAAGGAATTACATATAGAATTATTATTATTTCAACATTTATAACTTTGACCAAAGTTTAATAAAATAGAAAATATCAAAATTTTTGAAAAGTATTTTACATATAGCTTTAAATCTATTTTTTCTACATATTAATACAAAAGTGTATTATTAAAAGTTGTAATATTATAAAAAGTATTATAAAAAATGCATAATTTAAAAAATGTATATTTTTTAAATTTATTATATATTCAATATTTTTTTACAGACTCATGTATTTAACTTTTTTTTTAAGAGTACTACATTTGCGCATAACTAATTACTGCACTTTAAACAAAGAGATTGCATATCTCTTTTTTCTTACATGCTGACAATAAGAGCAATTTTACTTCTTTAATCATAGCAATTATGTATACACAATTGCGGCGCGAAGACTTTTCGTAATTGGAATAACGTGCACGCTTCTTGTTAAAACAAACGAACGCGAATCTAGAGTACGATCTGCAATGCACTCGGCAATGCAATTAAAAATGCAAATCATTGAAACGAACCGTAATTTCGGAAATCTATGTCGTCTCGTTTCTCTCTCGCGGCGTGGTAGCTCAGAATGCGCAGTGTGCTCCACAGCTTCTCAGCCTACACATAGAACATATAATTGCGCTCAATAGACTTGTCAGATTATTTTCTGAAGATTTTCCTGTGTACATAAATAAATATCACGTCCGCATGGATATTCCCGTAATTATGGTAAACGTCTGGTATAACGCTCTCCCTTCTGACCTTCCTGTAATTTTGTAAATATGTTTTCAACCGCGATAGGATTATCAGTCTCGTCAGATAAATTAGGTTAGGTTAGGTTAGCGCGAGCGCATTCGAATCTTCGATACTTATACTTACGACGATTTCGTCCGGAGCGTTATACTTGGCCAGCCTTAGATGCTCGGGTGTTAAACCTGTGTTTATCAACGAGTTAATGTATTCGCACAATGTCGGTAATGCGTCTTTTATATCACACATGATGCTACGAACAAAGAATGTCACGCGCGCGGCCAAGAGACGAGTTTCGTACTTTCGTGTGGTCTGCGCAGCATTCGAACGCGCGAGTTCGCGACGCGGCGAACCGACTGCGGTTCGTTCACTTTCAATTAAATCGGCGACGAGAGTATATACGTTCGCTGACAGCATACAATATTTGTAAAATATTTACGAAGTATTTGTAAACATTTATAAAATTTATTTCAAATATTCTGTAAATATTTTTGTGGTCTTAACTATATATACGGGGTGTTTGATAATTAATGAAAAATCTTTTGCATAGGGGCAAAATGGACTAAACTGAGAAGAAAAGTCCTCTACAATTTTGCAATTTTTGCAATAGTTAACAAGATATTGATTGCTAAAAATTGTTTAAAATTGATTTTCAATAATTTTTTACTCAAAAACTATCAACTTTACAGAAAAACTGTAAGAGACAAAAATTGTTTATTTTCTTCTCATAAAGTTTTGAGAATTTTTATAGAATTTTTTAATACTGTATTTTCTCATGTTGGTAAAAATAAGAAAATGCAATACTAAAAAGTTGATAAAAAATTCAGAAAAAATTCTTAGAGCTCTATGAGAATATAGTAAACAATATTTGTCTCTTGCAAGTTTTCTGTAAAGCTGGTAGTATTTGAGTAAAAAATTATTGAAGACAATTTTTAGTAATTAATATCTTGTTAACTATTACGAAAATTGTAAAATGGCCAAGGACTTTTCTTTTCAGTTTAGTCCATTTTGCCCCTATGCAAAAGATTTTTCATTAATTATCAAACACCCTGTATATATTGCACAGCATATAAATATTTGTTATAAGTATGAAATATTCAAATCAAATAGACAGGATCAGCTACGAGCCAATTAATATATTTGTAAAATGATTAAAAATTATACGCAATGGTTGTATATTAAACACATGACATTTACGTGTAATAAAATTAAATTAAAAATGTAATAAACGGTTCAAGTGATAGTAACCTAACAATAAAACTATACACTAAATAATACAAAAGTCGTAATATTAAAAATTCTAAACAAAAACGTTTCGACCTATCACGAGATCATCTTCAACTTGTTAAAATAAAAATTAAAATTTGTACGGACTTATATTTACTACATTGATACCAAAAGAAGATAATTCCTGTTAATTACAGTATAAAATGTATTTCGGCGTATCCAGTAGCGTATACATATTGTTCCAAAGATGGTAACCACTCATCGCCAACAATGTCGCATTCGACTCTCGTGAGATGCTTCAAAAATAGTCAGTTACTAGATGTTTTATTGTACTCTTATTTCGAATGCACACCATACTTGCACGCCCTTATAATGCTCGGATTCACTCTGTTCTTAATGATACAAAATCCCGAGGTTGAGCTCTTTTACATACAAAAGTCCGATCGCCTGCATCATTTAGTGTATAGCTACTTTTATATTGTTAGGTTACTATCACTTGAACCGTTTATTACATTTTTAATTTAATTTTATTACACATAAATGTCATCATGTGTTTAATACACAACCATTGCATATAATTTTTGATCATTTTACAAATATATTAATTAGCTCGATAGCTCCTATCTATTTGGTTTGAATTTTTATTAATTGAGCCGTTGATTACAAAGTTAATTATGATACGTTAATGCGATTGTAGTTTAACATTTAAAAATGAATATCAAACACCCAATAATATAGCATAGAACTTGTAGCAATATTGTTGCAATATTACACGTTGCAGCAATATAATTGCTCCAAGTTTGGTGCTGTTGGGGACGTCAATTCGTCACCATTGCGAAATAAGTTCAAAACGGATAGAAGGATTGAATGGTTGAATCTCTTACCACGATATATGATTATAGAGGGTCAATCGAATCAGAAATTAATAAAAAAAAAAGAAATATTCGTTTTATTACCGACAAATAATTCCAAAGTAATACTCAATTTTTTATACGCGAAATATCACGAAGACGAGAAATGAATTAGATTATTAATACAAACTGCATTAATTGTGAAAATAAGAATCGTATATGAATTGCGTTATTAGTATAAAAGTACTTATTGACATTGCTTTTTTGCGATTCATGTCACAACACTGTTCAAAGTATAATCGAGAGTAATACGCAAGCGAAAGAAAAATTTTACGTTAAATAAAAATAATTATCTTTCGTAATTATCGTGAAATAATTACAAATCCTGTTTTCTTGCTCTTAATATTCTTGGAATATTAATTCCAAATGAATGAATATCTTAATTGATCCTTGTATTATTCCCTTAATAAAGAAAAAAATTAATGCTTCTGTTTATATATAAAATAAAAATAGAATTTACACTATGATTGAAAATGCCATTTTTAAAGAAGAATAAAACAAAAAAATCAAAGAAAAAAGAAAAAGAATAAAATTAAAATTTGGCACCGTATTTAGAGCTCTTTGATCTTCCCACAACCGTCAGACACGGTCCCCTCCAAACCCAAGATGCGAGACCGACGGTGGAAGAAGGAATAAAAAATGTTCGGACTCATAAAGGGTGCGTTCCGTTTCTCGCATGATGCGCATAATGCATCGTTTATCCTTGTTGCTCACCAAATGTTAAACAAGGACAATGGATGCATCATGCGCATCATGCGCGATACGGAACGCACCTATAGTCTTACGTGCGTCTGACTTTTCCGCGCGTTGCTGCCGCCGGTGGTCGCCGGTCAGTCGCGGTCAGTTTCACCCCCGCTCTTCTCCTAACCCGAGTCGCGTCGCACCGGAAGCGAATCAGCCTCTTCAGTCTTCTCCGTCTCTCTCTCTCTCCCGCCCGTCGATTCTGTCTCGGACCGCGCGGAGGTGGTCCCTCGGATCGGAATTGCGCTAACCGATCACGGATCACTCCGATCAGTAGAGTACGAGCGGCCGCGCGTCGATCATTGTCGAGTATCGCGTGGCTCTCGCGGCAAGTTTTCGTTTTCTGCATGACGTTCCGTGCTGTTTTACTTCTCGAAATGACATCGAGAGCTCTTCGTTTGAAGTGGACCGTCTGTCTGGCACTCATTCTGGTGAGGGACTGATTGCATTAATTAGAATTTAATGCAATAAATTAATGCAATTAATTGAATTAATGTAATGAATGCATTAATGGACTATTTGGTCGCATTGTAGAATTTTGATTGAATCTGTTGTAATTTTAGTCGAGATAATCGCATTGAGAAAAAAATCTCTTAAATCTAAATAAATATTTATCTGATAAAAAAAATTATTATTAAATCAAATGTCTTTTATACTAAATAAATATATCTTTATATTTAATAAATATTTAATTGACACGCTGTTTAAATAAATAATTTGTTAAATTTGTTTTCAACGCAGAATCTTAATTGATATAATCAGATTTTTCTGGTTCCTCTATTTTCAATCAGAAAAGTTTCTAACAATTAATGTATCATCGTGTTCAATTTTTTATTTACCATGTTTGCTGTCAGAATTATTAATTTTTGGATGTGTGTCTTCCCCGTTTGATCAATCGCTGAATATTTTCACAACCGTGTCGCGTATGAATTGTTAGATTTGTTTATTCATATTTATCTTTCTTCGAATTTTTAAATCGTTAATCACCGAACACTTGTCGACGATTTATGGGATTTATGCGCGCATGGAGGTCATGTCGGTTGAAAGGCGCAGAAACGTGTCCACGGCAATACGAATATGCGTGTATACTAACATCAAGTGGAGGATTTTACTGCGGAGATTAATATCCGATGTCCTTATTATTATTTTTATCTCAATACCATCGCGGAACGCTCGAGTTTTTTGGCTCTTTTTGCAAAAAAGGAAAGACGCCTTCAGGCAACGGAAGTGTTAATTAAAAGTAATGAAAACAATCATATTTTGAAGTTGTGTTGAAAACTTATGGCTTATGTTGAAAAAATTTATACTTTTTAAAAACTCTTTGTTTTATTCTTTTACGATCTCTACGGAAATTTAATAGATACTGATAGTGATTTTGAACATTAAAAGCATTGAACAACAGTGTCTTTACTGAAAGCGATTAATTGCTAATTATTTTGTGTATTAAAAGCATTGAATAACAGTGCTTTTAATACTGCAAGTATAATACTGCAAGTTTAATACTGCACAAGTGATTAATTATTTATTTTTAGTATTAAAGTATTGAATAACAGTGCTTTTATTGAAAGTTAGTAATTAATTATTTACTTTGTGTGTTAAAAACACTCAATAACATTGCTTTTACTAAAAGATAATGATTCATTACTTATTTTTAGTATTAAAACAATAACAGTACCTTTACTGGAAGGTGTAATTAATTGTCTATTTTGAGTATTAAAAGCATCGGACAACAATGCTTTTAATGGAAGGCAGTAATTAATTTCTTATTTTGAGTATTAAATTAAGTTCTGAACAACAGCGCTTTTACTGAAAGGTAGATATTAATTAGTAATTCATGCTTATTTTGAGTATTAAAAGCAACAGTACCTTTAATACTCAAAATACATTAAAAATTACTTACAACCTTCTAGTATGAAATGAATCAGTATCACATTGGATTTCTGTGAGGAGAATGTTCGTTCCTAAATTCTTCCGTCATCCCCTTTTTACGAATAATCGGTCATCCACATTCCACTTTTATTTATCTCTTTTACGTTTTCTTTCTTCCTAGAATGTATATTGCCTCAGGTTTTTTCCTCTTACACTAGTTTGACAAGGTTTCCCAACAATGAACAGATTTAAATAACACGTTCGGAAGTTGTCACAAGGTGTTGTGACACATATATGTATCAAATGCACGAGAATGTATAATAATAAAACAATGACAGATAGGATTACCTGGAAAAGTCGCGGGATTACCTGGCGATTCGCTTCGTTGACGGGAGAAATTAAGATGCAATATTTACCGGGAGGGGGGGGGGATATCTACGGAATATATATATCGTAAAATTGCGTTACGACAGTTCTCCGCAATTATGCGAATATCTCACGCATATGTTTTAAATTTTTCATAGGATTTTCCCTATAAAAATGGAGAAAAAATTACGAAAAAAATTAAACTGACTCAATCATATAATAAAATATATTATAACTTATATAGAAATTAAACACTTAATATTATTTAAATAATACGTAAATTATCAACACATTTTCACACTGAAAAAAATTACTGAATTTTATCAAATATTTATTTGAAAATAACAAATAAAATAACTAATAAAATAACAAACAAGGGTTAATGAGAGTTTTTTGCTCGGTTGTTAGTGCGAAAATAAAAATCGTTTATTGTCGAAAAATATAGTATAATTAGTTAAACATTTCGGCCTGGGCTATCATCAATATATCTGAACGTATATTGTAAATAAAATTCTCACTTTTTCATGGCAAGACGGCAGAGTAGCAACTCAATCTTCTTATTCAATTGGCAATGGTTGACAATTCCAGTGGTAACAAATAACAGATAAAAATCCATATAGCCATGAAAGACGTGAACACAAAAAATCAATCAAAGTCGAGAGACAAAAGATCCGCAAATTATTCATATTTAGCAATGTAAATTCACTACAACCGTTCGAATATTGTGACGGTCAACATTCAAAATCATTTATTTAAAATAAAAAAATTACTTTATATAAATATATGTTTACATATATCATATATATATATATATATATATATATTTATTAAATTTGTCATTATTCAAACAAATATTTAATACAATTTTTTTTCAGTGTCTCAACGAAATTAAAATTCCCGAAATGAACAGCGAAATGGACTAAGAAATATTTAAATATAAACAAGAAAGAATGAAGCCATTTTCGGTCAAAAAGAAGCAGATCTTGGATTAATACGACAAACTATATCGACGCAAATGTCACATATGATTATTACTAAGCACCAAAACCTGCTTTTTTCTTTAGTCTCTTTTAAAGATTATTTATACTGGTCATAAACTATTAACTTATGCCATAAGCTATATATATATACATAAGAAATTGATTAATTGTTTAACTTATGACATAAGTTGACAGTTTCGCAAACAACCTAAAGTCTAAAATTGAGGCGTAAGATGTCTTTAAGATGTCTTTTAGATATTTTAAAGATGTCTTACGTCTTGATTTTGAATAAATGATCCTTTATTCTCAAAATACTTTCAAATATCGGCGGCCTGCGCGGAGTAATCACACCGCATTATATAATCTCGTTCGCAGCTGCATGCACTTGCTTGTAACAGGATCTTATGCCGCCTCTCAACCTCGGTATAGAAATAATTTATCTTTTTCTTATCGCGCGTTCTATTCTCCCGCCGCGCGCAGTGATTCCGACCTCATGATCCAAGAACAGGACGGTTCTTTACATAATTCCAAGCGTGCGCGCGTACTTCGCGGAAAACGGCTTATTTTTAGAGAAGGAAAAGTTCCCGCGGGTCGAGATCTGATTGTTTTCAAATCTTCTTCATTCAGCAGGTGTGCCAGACGGTGCAACTGATCGAAGGGTATCCTCGCGCTTCCTCAGAGGTGTCGGAGGAGTCACCGAACGCCGAAAGTTCCTCGTCGCAGGACACGTCAATTTCAAGAGTGATCGAAGAGGCGTACGAGCAGCAGGTGTTTCTACAATATTAAACGAAGTAGACCGTAAATGTGAATACACAACAATTAGAAAATGGAAGCTTTAGTAATGAAAGGACCGAGACAGTCAATGTGGATCCTCGCGAAATTTAATTACATTGAAAGAAAAGATTGGCTGTTGCAGCCAATAAAAAATATACCATATTCAGCCAATCTTTTCTTTCAATCTATAACTTTTAGTACTCAGTCCTAACAGAATTAGAATAGTAATATTACAAATTAAAATTAACAAAAAGTTTAATAATTGATGCTTATAGGTATCTTAGAAAGATACTCATAAATCTGATGGTAAAAAGCATCTTAAAACCTGTAAATAATTTTAGGTGTTTCTGCGACCCCAAGAATGGCCGCAGAAGACCAGCGACGGAGACAATTGTTGTTCACAAAGGATAGAACAGATGCAGAGGGACACTTCGAAGGAGAAATTTTCAAGCGATGGGATGATTCAAAGTAGATCAAAAAAATCACTGCAAGGCATGTTTATCTTGAATAAGTATTGACTTCAAGTGATCAACATTCTTTTTCAGTAACTCCTCAGAACGAATCAATAACCATTCATAATGTGATTAAGGCCAGTGGTTTAAACACAATCGATCTATTTAAAGTTGCGATTTTCTCCGTAAAACGGGAACTTACGAAATAATGATAGCGCGTAATTCATAGTATGTTATAGAAATTCCCTGATGAAGAAAATTCTTATATCTTATACTTTACTGAAAAAAAGATTGGTTGCTGCAGCAAATTAGATAGTAAAATATGGTATAGCATTTTTAATTGGTTGCAACAGTCAATTAAAAATGCTATGCCATATTTTACTATCTAATTTACTGCAGCAGCCAATCTTTTCTTTCAGTATAATGATTTAAAAAAATTTTGCATATTTTAAATTTATAAAGATTAAAAAAAGTATCTTAGATTTATTAATCAAGTATTATAAGTTTTCTTCGGAAATTATAGAATGAGAAATAAACTTTGAATATCTCAGAATTTGCGTAAAGTATTCTGGAAAAGATACAGACTTTCTCTGCATTGCTATGTTCCAATTTGTATAAAAAATTTGTAGAAATAAATTACATAAAAATTTTCTAAAACGCCATAAAATTAAATTATATAAAAATTATAAAAATTTCTGAAATTTATATAGAAAATTATGTGAAGAATTTAAATTCTTGGTGAAGAAAATTTCTTGCGCAATAAATTTCATCGCGGATACGCTTTACGACTTACTGAGGTACTTTTTACTTTTTTGACTACAATTATGACTTGCTGCGATTCTGCGCCTTTAAAATGATTGAAGATGCTTTTATAAAAAATTTTCTTCACCAAGAACTTTTAATTTGCGTTGACGAGGTTATATATTTATGGACTTTTGATTCTTGCGT